CATATATAACATACATATTATATATTATATATGACATATATAACATATATAATATGATATATAACAGATATCTCATACATATCAAAGTTATATGTTATCTAACATATATATGTGATATATATAATATATATCTCTCTCCACTGACTTAGATTCTTGTCCTACCAACTTCCTGTGTGACATTGAGCAAGCTCTTCTCTTAGCCTCAGTTTTCCTGATCTGTAAAATAAAAGGGTTGTATCAGACAATTTCTATGATCTTTCTCTAACTCATTTTGTCTTATATAGGTATAAATGAAAATAGAAGAAATTGTCTTCAATCTGGACAAGTTCTATAGGACACACCATGATGAATCTTACAGAGAAGAACTTGGGTTAGAAGCTAAGATAGATACTTGGGTTAGGCTTTTTTTTTGAAGGAAGATGAAGACTAGCATTTATGGAGTACCTATTATGTGCCAGAGTTTCTACATGTGTCATATCATTAAAAGCTTACAATTATCCCTCTGTACTTCCTCTCCTTTCTTTATACCCATCCCAGTCCATCCATCATTCAAGATCCTCACTAAAGGTTAAGGTCTCAGGTCACAGGACATATGTAGCAGTGAGGAGTTGTGGATCCAGTTCTATCTGATTCCAATCTCAGATCCTTCTGTTGCCCCTGGCTACCTACATTTGAGCAGGATGTGAGTGACCTCTTTGCAGATGTCTTTTTTTTTTTTTTTTTTTTTTTTAAGAGACAGGGTTTCACTCTGCTGCCCAGGCTGGAGTACAGTAACTCAAACACAGCTCACTGTAGCCTCAAGCTCCTGGGTTCAAGCAATCCTTCTGTCTCAGACTCCCAAGTAACTGAAACTACAGGTGTACAACACCATGTTCAGCTAGGGTGTGACCTCTTGAGTAAATGACTTAATCTCAGTTTATTCTTCTGTACATGGAAAAGTCTATTCAGGTAACCCAGGAGAAGCAGCAGCAGGGTCATTTGTGGAGCTGAGTAGCTCTGGCTGGGTCAAGTTGAGGGGAATGCTCAGAAGTCCCCATAATTCCTGTATAAATCTAATAGGCAATTGTCAGCTGTTTTACCACTGTAACTCAGTCTTACTGACCCTAAGAAGGTTAAATAATTTGATATGAAAATTGCAGGGCTTCTGCTAGGGTTTTTGAGAGTCTGTACAGGAAGCTTTTGCTTGCTTGCTTATTGCTTTGGTGTCGTTTGGGGTTTTGCTTTTATTTTTATTTTTATTTTTATTTTGCCCTGGTTCCTCTAAGGTTGGGAAACTTGGCTTTGTGTGGCAAAGCAGGGAAGTGGTCCTGTGGGGTTTACCCCATTGACTGCTGCACCTCTTATTGGCACCCATTCAGATCGTCAGAGGGTCCTTCTCAGAATGCAGGCCATCAGTGAATATCACAGCCTCCCCTCTTCAGGAGACTGTAGGAGGCTCAGCTGGCCAAGTCCTGCCTACCCAGACTCTGAAGTGGGACTTTGTCAAGGTTGCATGGTGTCTGAGAACAGGTGCTTAGGAAGGAGGAAGGACTAAATTTTTCTCCATCAATGTATGAGCATGAGGAGGGGGATAAACAGAGTGAGACATGAGAACCACATAACAGGCTGGGGTGGCGGGGGTTGAGATGACCGCAGGGCAGGAGTGAAGGGACATAAACATGGAACATATCACAAAGAAAGGTGGGATTGACGTCAGTGTTCAGGGTGGGCCCTGGTGCCCATGGGTGTCTCAGATGAAACATAGGCATTGGAGAACAGGAAGGTACTAAATCCAATTCCTTAACCTAGAGATAGAAAAACAGGTAGGCCACGGGCATCCTCTCTCTCCCACTGTCACTGTCGACCTGATATTCATGTCAGCTCTTATCCTTCCTGAACTGAGGTCTCTTCAAGGTAAGAAGGAACATCTGCCTTCTGAGGCAGAGAGCCCAGGATTCAAGGGCGACAATCCTCTTCTCACTGTTGACCCTACAGACCATTCACCAGACGCAGATAGGGAAACTCTTCAAATGTCATTCGGGTCACATCACCCACCCCCCGGGCTTACAACAACCTTCCTATCAGATGATTGATCTGCCTAAAAAGAAAATAAGAAATATTAGTGTACTACAAATATTAGAAGTTCTAATTGTGTGTGTGGGTTTCAACTGTAATGCTAGACTTCTGTTCCTAGAAGTGATTCAGGCAGCGTGTTATGGTAGTTTGAAAGGTGTGTAAGGGTAAGACATATTTTCCTTTAACGGAATGCCTCATTCCAGGACAAGTCTAACCAAATTTGCCTAATTGTAGCATGTAGCATCTTGGTCTGTTAGAAATGTGTTTCTTCTATTTTGCTTTTTGAATATTGCCTCTAGTTTTAGAGAACTTGCTTATTGAAAGGGAAAAACAAACAGGACAAGGGCTGTTTTTAAAAACAATCATATGTAAAGATGACGCCTGCAGTGATTTCCTATCACAGGGACTACAATCCAAATTTCTTACCATGCCAGCATGTTCTTCA